AATTTCTAGAATGACGAAAGGATATTCATTAGTGCAAGATTTTAGGCAGATCATTAATGATCCAAAGTATAGTAATATAGAAATTATTTGCAAGGATGAAAGGGTATTCCACTGTTATAAACCGATCTTGGCGGCGAGATCTAAAGTATTTGATGCACTATTCTACAATGAAATGGGAGAGAGTGAATTGGGACAAATCTCGTTTCCGAACATTAGTTCTTCCGGAATGGAGATCGTATTGGAGTATGTTTATTTAGGAATGATCAAAGAGGAAAACTTAACCGAAGATAATATAGTTGAAACTTATTATGTTGCGGATTATTTTCAATTATATGACCTTCTAGATATTATCATCATAAATGTTAACAGAGCTTTTGACATGGATTACAAGAATAATTATTCACCAGAATTGTTATCAAAAATGGTTGATACAATGCCATTAAGGAAAGAAGATAATCTTCTTCTTGGCCTATTGGTTGAAACGGTTTCAACTATTCCGTTAAATACCATCGAATTTGGTCGGTTATCTATTACGGCACTTCAACATCTTTTATTTTGTACCCATGAAAAAGAAAAACCCTTTGAAACCCCAGAGTATGAAGTTTTTCGGTATAGTACAATTTTAGTAGCGAGGCAGATTTCTAATGAACTAATCGATACCCTTTTAAAACGTTTACCAACTTTAGAAGAGATGGATGATTCAAAGCAAATTGATAATGAGATGATCATGAATCATCAAGAGGTTTCCAAAGGATTGGAACCTTTGATAAAGTTCATTGATTTCAAAAAAATCAAATGTCAGATATTAACTGATATTATCAAACCGTTAAACATTGTCCCGGTTGAAACGATCGCTGATGCTTTACGACATAAATCAATCTTAAATGATGCAGATTTAAATGGAATTCGAGGGATATCCTCATCATATGTGAGATATTGGCTTTGGGATGAGTCTGAGCGTGGAACAAAACTTGTTGTTGAGGATTTTGGAGCGATTATACGAGCAAAGAAGGGTGAATGTCTGCAAAGCGTTAGAACTAAAATGGTATTAGAAAGTGAGGGTATTTTTGAATGGGACGTTATCATTGAAAAGAATTGTAGTCGGGCTTACATTGGAGTATGTTCTTCAGGAAATTTAAATTATGAAGACTTTGCAGATCAAGGTATTGGTGTATGGGTATTAGGTACTTTGGGTAGTATTCGGCATTCCGGAGGTTGTGCATCGTACTGTCCACCATTTCAAGAGGATGGTAGTAAGGTTACTGTTCATTTGAATATGAAGAAAAGGACTTGCGCATTTACAGTTAACGGTATAAGGTATCCAGAAGTATCAGAATGGAATGATTTGCCATCAAAAGTTTATCCGATTGCTTCATTACAATATCCTGGTCGGTTTCGAATTCAATCTCATTGAATTTTGAATGATGAATTTATTATACTTTTTTTACAGTATGTAGTCCAATTGTATGTAGATAGTTAATACCGGTATAATAGCAATAAAATGGTTATTTGCGAAAATTTTGTTTGGTTTTTAATGTGATTCATGTAATTTTACGAATAATTGATCTTATGAATTTTTTAGGATTAAACTTTCATGTGATTCAACCTTTACTCGATATCCCTAATTTAAAAATTAATTCTTTACAATTGAAATAGAAACCGCGAATTCACGTGTTGCTTTAAAAAAAAGGAGTGTAGTATGTTCATCTTATGAAATTAGAGATCTTGATGAATTAGAATTAGGGAAACTCGTAAAAAAAAAAAAAAAAATGGTATTTTATAGCTATAGATTATATTATGCAATTTGGTTAAATTAAACGTGCGGCAGTGTGCGGCAGTGTGATGAATACATAAATTTCTTCTCTCTTTATTAAGTTTGACATTAAATGAATTCAAGTAGATTTCGATTTTAATAGCAAACGACCCATATACACAAGTATGACCACCAAGTGTGAATAGGAATACTTTATTGGTATAGCAAAAAAAAAAAAAAATTTAAGAAAAATATGAGATCACATTTCAAAGATTTTGAGCACACAACTCGACTTATCCGTGAGGTTCTTCGTGCGTGAATTATTTTTTGAATGCCCCATTACAACTCTTATTGTATCTCTGTTTGTCTAGTAAGTATTCCTTCTATTTCACGGTTAATTAGTTTATATTCTTTAAACAATACCAAATAACCCTATTTTATGATTTTACATTGGATCCCAATCAACCAGTATTGGCAAATGATTTCAAATGACATCATTTTTATTATAAATTTCATTCTTAAAATATAGTATATGACCTTATAATGAATTTACCATCACTGCAAACAATATTCCGCCGCCACCGGATCCGGATCACTATGATAAAAAACATGAGTTCATGAGCCACCATCGCTAAGAACAAAGAGGAATGCTCGCAGTCGTTTTTGACTGTGGCCACAAAGAGCTTTCATAACCCGATATTTTACACCGAAACTTCAGATACGTTACCTTGCAAGATTGCTTAATATTTTTCCACTTAATTTCACACTGTTCAGGAAGGTATTGGTTCTCATTATCAGTCACCTTGTTCTATTGCACTTGAGGTTCACGCTTGTCCATAGTCAATACGGAATTGTCCATAATTAATTTTAATTATATTTAAAATAGTTTGGGTTTTGATTTTAAGCTCGCTTCCTGCTAAGAATAAAGGGGACGTGTCAAGAATATTAAGAATATTTTTCTCCTACAGTCTTGTATATGTTTCTTCGTTATTTTTATTTCATGAAAAAAGTTTCTTTATAGAACGTACGTGTAAATAGATTGGAAAGTCAGGTTGAAAAAAAAAAAAAATTTCAAATTCACTGCTTTTACACCTCAGATGGTCGTACAATTGATTTTATGTGAATTTTCCGGGAAAATTTTTTGTTGTCCCCATTAAATATTTCATTATATGGCGGAGTGAAATATTACGAAAATAAAAGTTTAGGACCACCTGATAAATTAAAGAAAATCGAAATTTTTATTCATAACTTTAATTAATTTTAGTATTTTATAAAACATATTTTAATAAATTATTAAACAGTTTAATATTTAGTGTTTTTTAATCTTTTTTTTTTTAATAAAATTTGTTGTTTATTAATAAAAAATTTTATTATTATTGTATCATAAAATTATTTTTTTGTTAAAAACTTATATTATATATAATATAATAAAAAAAAAAATTTTTTAAAATTCATATAAAAAATTAACAATATTAAAAAAAAAAAAAATTAATAAAAAATTTCATTGATTCTACTTTTAAAATTAAAGAAATATATTATTTAATATCTAGTAAAATTATATAAGCTTTAAATTATTGCTTTAATTCAATCTTTAATACTATTAACAAGTTTTTGATAAATCTCTTATTAAATTTGTATCTAACATTCTTAAAGAAATACTTAAAATTTTTGGATGATTTTCTTTTGCTTAAATATGATATTCAAGTTCATTTCAATAAGTATTTAATGGGTTTAAGGTCTAAACTTTGTTCTAAACATAGTAATGAAGTTATTCTCATCTTTTTCATAAAAGTTTGTATTTTTAAACTAATATAAATTGAAGTATTATCTTATTAAAAAAAGATATTTTCCATTTCTTTTTCAAACTTTTCTAAATATGATATTAAATAATAACCAAAAATCTCTTTTATATATAGTCAACTCTTGTTATAACGAACTCTATGTTTTAGACCTCAACTTCGCTATAAGGCAATAGTGAAGATTTTAAGAGATTTGATTGGCCAATTCACTATAACAAGGGTATTTTTATTATATTTGTTCAAAAAATTCGTTATATCAAGAGTTCGCTATATCAAGAGTTGACTATACCATCTACTAATTTGACTATTAATTCTTATTAAAGGATCTAATCTATACCATTAAAAATATTATCACATTATAATTCCATCTCTACTATATTTTATAGTTGAAGCAAAATAATTAATATTATATTTTTCTTTTAAAAAGCATTAAACTCTAAATTTTTCATTATTTTGATATAGGTAAACCTAGATTTATTGCTTCAAATTATTTTTTTTTTCAATTATTTATTGTTCATAATTGTTTTTTTTTGAGATTAAGTTAAATGAATTTTTCAATTAAATTCACTTATTAATAGTTTTCTGAGAATTATATAACTATAATATTTTAGTTCATACAATGTATATATTAATTCACATCGATTTTTTAAGTAATAATTGCTTTAAGATAACATTTATCATATTCATTAAAATTTCTGAATATTTACTATAAGAAACAATATTAATAATATCAGTTTTATAGTATTTTATTATAACATTATGTATGGTAATTTTATTATAATTTATTTTTTTTTAACAATAATTCTTTTCATCAATGTTAATGATGAAAAGAGAAATTCAATTTTTATTTATATGTTATTAACTCTACGCTCAGTCCATTGAACTTAGAGCAATGATAACTTAATAATAGGAAGTAATATGCAAAAAACTACTAAATTACTATAGAATAAGTTCTATCACAATCAACCTTAGATTTATAATAATTTAGACAAGTAAAATAACTTTAACAATTGTAAGAACAATAAAAACTAATACGTTGAAGGATTTTAATATATGTAATTTAAAAAGAGATCCCTTTATTGTAGAGATTGTATTCTTAACAATCCTTAACCTTGGATTCTAAGTCTTTAACTAGTATTTTTAAGTTATCACTATTATCTCTGTCCTTTTACAAGAACAATTTTCTATCCTATTTATACAAAATTACAATTATAAGAAGATTGCTATCTAATGCTATTTTATATAAACTAAATTATAATGCTAATGTCAACATCAGATTTCTTAGAAACTTTTTTAGGAGGCCTTCCTCTCTTGGCCGGAGTAGATAGATGCGATTCATGACATTTGCATTTGATTTTTCTGCAACGTTAACATGCCGCCATTATTCATGACATTTGCGATTTATTTTTCTGCAACGTTGGCATGCCATTATTCATGACATTTGCGATTTATTTTTCTGCAACGTTGGCATGCCATTTTAACGTAAGGTCTCTTGATTCGTTTGACGCCCATGTTCGGAAGGCCGTCCGGAATCTTGAAAGTGATTCAAGAAGTGTGTCTGGTTGTTCACCAATAAATGGAACAAGAATATTTATGATATTCATAAGTAAAAATAGCTTGAGACGCTAATGTATAATGAAAGTGAGAAAAACTGTGTAAATTTTGGATAGTCAAATGCATTATTATCGAGAAAATCATCTAGTTACAAAATACAATACCTTGCGTAATGCCTCGCGAGGGACCTTCTTAACGTGAATAGCAACTTTCCATATGTTGAGCTCGCATGCGTCAATTTTTTCGAAAGCGTTTTTTTTAGCATTTTTAATAAATTCTTGATGCGAAATCTTTTTTTTCTTCCATACTTCTTTCGTTATATCAACTATAAACCAATTCGTAACAATGTTTTTTCCATTTAGGTCGAGACAAAGTGCCATGATTTCAGATGAACTGAAACAAAAAGTAAAAAGTTTTAAGGAAATAGTTCGATAGTTGAAGGTATATGCTGTGTAAGCATAGTAAAAAAAAAAAAAAGAGGTTCAGGTATTTATTTAAAAAAAAAATTTTAGGTCGTACGAGTGGTCGAACGATTGACTAATCAGTGACTTTTTATTTCCAATAAATTTTTTTTTTTTTTGAAGTCCGAATGAAATATATTATATTTGGTATGACTTTGCATTTATAAGGAAACGACTTCAGGATACGCAAACTAATGACATTTTTTCAAATTTCCGAGTACCTTACTAGCATTACGGAATGCAATTTTCGGTGGGGCTTTACAAAGGTTAATGTTCATTTATTTCTGACACTTTATGCCTTGTACAAATATAACTGAAGTCTGACGACAATTTTTTCTACCCAGAATATCAATGATTAGGACAAATGAAACCAGATCATGAGTTGTTGTTGGGATAATGTGTTGTTATTGATAGTTTAGGTGAATGAAACACTGGTGTGTTCTGTATAGAAACGCCATTTTATTTTGTAAAACCAGTCTATGTATCATCGAATCATGTAATTTATTTTCTGTATCAATAAAGCCACATTTAATTCTGGTCGTGACATTTGTCACGGCTTATATATATGCTGACAATCTTTTGAATTATTCCTACCTTTATAAAAAAATTTCAGGATACATTAAGAGAATTAAAATGCTAAACTATTAGCTGATATTCAGAGCTTTGGAAGGAGAAAACTGAGATTCCCGAACTTAGAGAGGTTACTAAAGTTTGCTGAAGTTGAGGCTGAGAGCAGATTATTGAAGATAATGTAAGTTGCGATGCTGAGAATGCTAAGCTTAAGGCTGAAGAAGCAAAACTAAGGCACAACATTGATGAGATCAAACAGCAATCTCAAATCATTACTTCCGAAGAACCTTCTGTTATGCCAAACTCTGTGGTAGTCCAGCTCGAGCATAGCCTGATTGCGAAGCAAATGAGAGGTGCGATTATTTAACCCGGATCGAATTTTTGATGTACCTGATCCTGTAGTAGACAAGCTCAATAATGCCAACACCAAATCATCGGAGATAGGGAGATGGACGTTTTCTTTGAAGAGGTAAGCAAGAGAAATAATACTTCTTCGAAAACATATAACCAACTTTCCGTTACTAAAAATCGCGAAAAATTTCAGATACGCCTAGTGACAAAATCTCTGAATTTGCTGACTCGGAACAAAATATCGAATTTGTAGATTCCCTTGATAAACCACTAACAAATCTAACTGTGGAAAAAGAATTACAATAAAGCTAAGTGAATTTTGAGAACTAAATGAAATTTAGTAAATGAAAATTGTAAATTGTAATTATTAATTCCAACTGTGGTTATTTAATATTTCAGCTTTATAGTACTATTTTATTAGATAAAATTATTGTGTGTGGCTCTTTATTAATGCAAATTAATATTGTTTAACATAATAATTAGAAAACTCTTATAACCTTAAAATATATATACTGAAATTAAACAATACAATGAGTATTCAATAAGCATATTATACAGCTTACAAAAAACTTAAAGATTATATATTACAATATCTTGTGTATTCATTATTTAAGGATGTTCAAGTTTTTGATCTATAATATTTATCTTTAACAATTACTAATCAAGATATCTATTCCTATTAAATTATCAGAGAATTAGTTAATCTATTAGTAAATCTTATTTAGAAATGATCAATTTATATTAATATCAATTTAAATCTTATTGAAATTTTTTAAACTAGATGAATTTTAAGATAAAGTTACATTACAACTTCCTTTTTTAGAAAAAATAGTACATAATTATATATGGTTGTCAATCTTTTTTTGTGTAATAGAAAGGAGTTTTTTTACATATAATAAAATTTTAGATAATTATAGTCAAAATTTAAGTTTGAAATTAATAAATATCTTATTATAATGTATTTTAATAATCAAAATAGTAATAAATAAATACAAAATTTTTATCAGAATACACAAATAGAATGATAGAATAGCAGTAAGTTAATCTAATATTAATCATGTCACAATTGTTACTAATGATATAAACAAATTTTTAATTAAAAATTATGTAATTAATGCTTTTATCAAAATAATCTGCTAGATTTAGCTATAAATTATATATATCTTAAGATTTTAACATTTTACACTGATGAATTATTTAATAATCTAATTTCAAAAAATTGTAAATAGATCTTAAATAGATTTATTTAGAATTTATATCAATTCCTTTTTATTCTTTTACTGCTACAGTCTTATATTTACCTTCATCAATAAAATCTGATCTTTTTGCTCTTTTTTCTATATTTATTATTTACCTATTCTTATTTTTACTAATTATTTGCTTTGATAGTCAAGCAGTTATTAATAGAGTTCTAATGAGTCAAGTTGAGCCAAATTTAAAATCAAATTTATTTAACTCTTTTTTAAGTTGAGTCGACTCAAGTTTATTTTATAAAATCTTTCAACTTAACTTAATTTGAGTTATATAAATTTTAAACTTAACCTAATTTAACTCAAATTGATTTTAATAATTTGATTTTGACTTAAATTTATATAAATTAAGTTAAATTCAAATCAAGTTTTATCAATTTTAAATTAATTTATAAACATTTAAATATAAAAAATTTATATTTACTCTTATTTGTGAAAATGAAAAATCTGTTTCTAAAAAAAAGAAAGAATTAAATAAACTTTCAAAAAAATATTCTTAAAGTATATTTACCTTAAAGAGCTATTTCTAAATTAATGAAAAAATAAAATAAAAAAAATAATAAATAATAAAGAATAAAAAATAAAAAAAAATTTAAAAAAAATAAAAAAAAAAAGAAGAAAAAA